GAAATTACTCCTCCAGACTTTTCTTTTTTTTGTTTGTTTGTTTTTTTCAGAACCGGGGATTGAACCGAGGCCCTTGCACTTGCCAGGGAAGCACTTATTTCACTAAGCCATCTCCCTTGCCCCGTGGTATTATAAAAATAGATGTGAAAGATTTTGAGAACAGTATCTTACATCTTTTATGCCTCTTAATATGAAATCATTTTAATAAGAAAATCAGGAACATGCTTGAAATAGGTGGTAAAATCAGCTGGTGAATTGCTGTCTCATGAAGACATTTGTATGTGTGCTTCCCTGATGTCCCATTTAAACATAGTCAAAAGAGGATAGACAAGGGCTGGGAAGATAGCTCTGCAGTCTAAGCACCTGCCTATCAAGCACGAGGACCTAGGTTTGATCCCCAGTACCACATGCCTTGCCGGCCCCAGAACACAGGCGCAAGGGAAACCGGGCGTAGTGACACACACCTGTAATTCCAGTGTTGGGTAGGCAGAGACAGGAGGATCACTGCAAGTCTGAACTGCATAGCAAGCAAGATCCTGTACCAAATAAATAGAAAGAGGATGGATAGCCGATGGCTTACTAAGTAAAATATGAAGAACACAAGCATTTTTATCTTTTTTCAATCTGTTGTTCGATGTCTAACAATCCATTGAGTGACTTTTCAAGGCCTAAAAACTGATTTATTTAAAGCATTATCTAAAGCAGCATAATTTTCTTTATATCCTCAAGAGTAGGAATAGGACATGGAAATAGCAGAAAAAGTAATTTCTTCCTTCTTTAAAATAAAATGTTGAGTTTTTGTTTCTTTTTCCCAGAAGTACAGTTTTTCTACATAGTATTTCTTTTATAAATTTATTTAAAATTTCCTGAGTCCCTTCTGGCTAGGCATGGCTAGAAATACATGAAAATCTGTTACCCTCTAATAATTCACATGGGCACATTCTGTCTGTCCTTTTATTCAGTACAAACATTGGTTGCACTTGCCAAACATATCTGCCCTCCATCCTTCTCCCCACTGTAGTTCCCAGTCTTAGGCAGAGTAATAAATACCGCTTCATCTCTTCACTGAACAACTCCAGAAAGTAAACTTCTCTATGCCTTTGCATTCAACTCCAGGGCCATAATTGTTTTTAGCCCGGGTATTAACTAACTTGGAAAATCTGGGGTTGTTTTTCTCTTTGGTGTGCTTGATAAGGACATTCGTCCCCACTTTAGTGAACTTGAGTTTCTTAATTACCGTTCTCGAAAAGCCAGTGAGCTCATGAAATGCTAGGTGGAAACTGCTGCTTTGAAACCAGCGAGTTCCTTACACAGAGGTCAGTTCTGTATACTTTTCCTAATATTGACCGTTGGCCTCACATCCAGCTCTGAGGAGAGATGCTTAATAAAGACTCTAATCTAGGATGATGTAAGCAATGTCAAGATGCTTGTGAAGAAGCAAATAGCTGGATATAGGAAGAGGAGTTGAAAGGAATATTTTTTATGCAAACAGAAAAACTAATTAATGTGTCCAGGACCACCTCTGTGAGTCAGTTTTAACAAGAGTGTAAATATGCACTTGAGTGAATTTTAACACCAAATGTCAGTTACTCTTGGCCTGTTTATTTATCAACACTATGTACTAGAAGTTCAACCACAGAGAAGCAGGAGCTTTACTAGGCATCTCAGCTTGCCAAGATTGTCGGGTTTAGTGACTTCATTCCCCCTGGGTGTGTGAAAGCCTGGGGCCTTCTCTTGCAGGATCAGCATCCCGCACTAAGAGGCAGGGCCCAGCATCGGGGCCTGAAGGAGGAAGAAGATCACAAGTTTCTTCCTAGCTCAGACAACTGACAACTGGAGACCCTATCTCAACATTTTAAATAGACTAGGGATGCAGGTCAATGCAAAGGCCCTAGGTTCAATCCCCAGTACTGCAGAAAATAAAGAAAGAGCCCATTGGGACCACAAACTCTTTTGGGGGATGAGGGACAGAGTTCTGAACCTCTCAGGTACTGGGTGTACTTGTTGAAATGAAAAACAAATCCAGTTGGGCCAGCCAGACTTAAAATTAGTTGTTCAGTCTCTCTTTGGTTTTCTCATGGTGCTGTGATTTTAATAATCATTTTAACCTGAGCACATGAGAAGCAGCAGGCGAACCAGTTGCCCGGACCTCATTTCTGTGTTGTCTTTCATGTGAAGATTCATAATCATATACACTTGAAAAAAGTCTGAAAACATGCATCAGGATTTAAACAGCTTGAATTAAATAAGATTTTTTATATTTGTCTATCCGTATTCTCTATAGAAGTCATGCTTTGTTTATATAATACAGTAAAGTTAATTTATTAAGAAAAAGACCAGGCCTGAACCCATCCATTCAGAAAGCTTCAAATTATAGAAACAATACTGTTCTATATGAGTGACCGATTATACTTTCTTTGGCCTACATTCTTTATTCTGAGGTGAAGCTGAGGCTTATAAGTCAAAACAAAGGAACTTAACTTGCTGTCCACCAGTTTATACAGAACCTACAGTATCTATGACTTTTTTAAACTAAGATCTGTTAAAAAAAAAAATGTTTCAACAGATGACCGTGTACAATACCATGTGGTGAAAATTCAGACTTATTAAATGACAAACTTGTTAAATCTTTAAAAAAGAAAAGAAAAAGAAAAGCATGTGAGGTGCATACGGCTAACAGTTTGTCTTTCATTTTATTCTAGAAATTGAAGCCAAGGAAGCTTGCGACTGGTTGCGAGCAACTGGTTTCCCCCAGTATGCACAGCTTTATGAAGGTAAGCCAGAAATACCATTTTTCTTAAATTGATGTAATCATAACCTTTGATTCAGGGCTCATGAGTATTTATTGATCCATGATTTATTTCCAGACATGTTACAAATTAATTTGAATAGTTAAGTATTTTACTTACAAACATAATATGATGAGCGCTTGAGACCCCACCTCTCACAACAGTGGTTGGGCCCTTGGTAATGACGCTCGCCTTTGTGCTCCGACTCTGTCCTCCTCCCAGGAATTGCCAGCATTCTGAAACATCTGTGATTTTCTTGCTCCCCTTTTGTATTGTTTTACAGTATATCCTAAAAAGTATATTTTGATAAAGTTGTGTTTACTTTATTGAAAGGGGTATTATGTTGTTTGTATTCTTGGGGGATTTAATTATTTTTTTTACTTAATGTTGTGTTAGTATTTTTCTGAACTTAGAGTCCCTACAGTTCATTCACTTTCATTGCTCTATGAGATTTCCACCCTGTGAATAGATCACCACAGTGCGTTCCTACCCCTCTTACTTATTGTTCTGGTTGCTGCTGCACCATACTTGACACCTGCAGCATAAAGTGGAGATCTATTTCTTTGCATGGTGTGTAGAGGTTTCAATCCATGCTCCATTCCAATGTGATTCCAAGGCAGGGTGGTTGGGCAGAGGGAAAAGTTCATGTTGTGGCAGTCAGGAAGCAGAGGGGGGTCAGGAGAGGAAGAGGAACAGAGGCTGTTCCGGGCCACATGCGCAGTGACCACCTGCTCCCTCCAGGTCTCACCTCCCAGCATCACACTCAGCTATGAACTCTTCCATGGATGGATCCAGCCATGTGTGTGCACACCTGTGGTCCAGCCACCTCCCCAAAGCCCACCCATGAGTGCGTGAGGATCTGGAGGGTGTCGTAGATGCAAGCCATGATACTGTCCATATTCCCATTTGTGAACATTTTAGTTTTGCTTTTATAAGTTCTGCAAGCTCAAGCACAGCCTTGGAAATTTAGAAAGACTGTGTCTCAAAATAATTTTTTTTTAAGTTTATATTTTTTTAAAGGGCTGGGGATATAGCTTAGTGCAAAGGCCTTAGGTATAATCCCTAGCATAAAACAAAACTGCTGCTTTGAACATTTTAGTATCTATCTCTTGTACTATATGTATATAATAATTTGTCTTGTGCATGTACTAAGAATAGAGCTACTGAGTAGTAAAAGTCGGTACAATTTTATAAGGTAAACCTTTCTAAAGGTTTTCACACTTCCTAATAATATATTGATATTGTCAGACTTTAATTTTCATTGATCTGGTAGAGTAAAATGGCATACAGAGTTTAGCTTCCAGATCCTTAATAATTAGTAAGTTCTTCATATCATTTGGCCATTTATGTTTTGCTCTTCTGTGACCTATCTCAGTCCTATTGCTCTCTTAAGTTGATTGTGCTTTTCTAAATAATTTGTAGAAGCCTTCTGTTGGGTCATGAGTCACAAATAACCTTCCCTTGGCTTGTAATTGTACTCTCCTTTTTAGAATGTCTTTTGATTAGTGTTATTTTTTTTCTGTGTCACTCATTTTTTTGGTTAGGGAAAAATGAACCTTTTCTCCTTAAATTAGAATCTGGAAGAAATTTCTTCTGTGTAGTCTTCTCATTGGTGCCATGAGAGTCACAGTGTTGCTGAGACCAGAGGGTGCAGATGATTTATGCCACAGCTGCTTTTATTGAGCTTCCTGGTGTCCAGGCAGTTGCCTGGGCACTGTGCATGTTAGGATAGATAAAGTATTCACTCAAATGAGAGTTCTGTGGTCCTCTTCATGAAATCATTTGGAAATCATTGCATGGGGCCGGGGATGTAACTCCGCAGTGAATTGCCTGCTTGGCAAGAGCAAGATTCTGAGTTTGATATCTGTTACCAAAAAAGAAAATAGACTTCTATTGTATGGACCATTTTCAAGTAACATGAATAGTGACCTCTAATTTACAATACCTGATTTCCTTCTGAATGTCCAAATTGACTGAATGAAATTTTTGTTTGAAGATGTATGCTAAATTTATTGTTAAACTATCAAAAAAAATTCCAATTTATTTTTCTTTTCTTTAGTTATTTGATCAATACCACCCTTATGATGCCATTGCTTATCTTTCCTTTGGAGAGAATTTTTGACCTGTTAAATGACTTTGGCTAGCAGTTGAGAGGCAACAGCATTTAATGAGATTTCCATTTCACAGCACTCCTGGAGATAGGGAAAGATAATTGCATTTGCAGTGGCTTTAAAGTGGCTGGCCTTTTGTTCTCCTGTTTAAAAATTAAATTTCCTTCAATTATGTCCATTCTTGGTGTGGATTCGAGACCAGGTGGCACCTTCTTGTGATGAGTCTGTTTCCTGAGACACAGTTCCAGCCTGACTGTCTTCTTCCACAGTCCTGGAATACCAACTGATCTTCATGCCATGGTGCGGTCCCATTGGAGCTCTAAGTTCTTTGAAGCACGAACCCACTTTTGAGGTCTACCCCGCACGGTTGTGAGCTGTCATTTTCCCCTCTCATCGCGGCCCCTGTGCACAGGGTGAGCGCACGCAGAGCACACACCAGCTCGCATTCCTTGTCTTCCTGTTCAGCATTATTTTGGTCTTTGGCAGCTTTACACTTCCTGCCTTTAAACTCAAGCTGGAAGTTGGGCTCAGAAAACTTCTATGCATCAGCAAACTATCATCTTTTAGAAAGCAGTTCTTTCAGAAAAGAGTGTAGGCAAAGAAAACTATTGATTAAATTCTCATTTAGTCACTACCAGATTTGTTTAAAAAAAAAAAATCAGAATTATAGTTAACTTGGGTCAGGAAGGTGATCTAAAAACAGGGTATACCAAGTTATAAGTTGCTGAAATAACACAGTTGCTTTCTCACATATACTTAATGGGCATAGGTACTCTTTAATTCACAGTTACAGATTTGATGTTACACCCTTTTGAAGTATTAACTTGTTTGTTAATGTTGGCTCTATTAATAAAATTACATGTCCCTTCTTGATGGGGACCCGTTGTGTGGGTCCCATTTAGGAACAGCTGCGTTCCCTGAAAGGTCTCCTCTGGTATTTCCACAATGACAGAACCACTACTCATTTGCCTAAGAAAGATTTAGTCTATACATGCTTAAAGAAATACAATCCTGTGGTACTGGATTCCATATATTCCTCATCAGTGTTTGGGCTGTAGTTATTTCATTGGTCTCCCAATATTATCAGTCACAGAATAAGGTCAGTAATCCAGCCCTTGCTTTCAGGGAAAAAAAATAATTAATAGTAAATTAGTTGTGGAACTGTCCGGTCCAAACCCAGGCGCAGCATGAGTGAGACCCAATCTGCAACCCTTGGGACCCCCCCAACACTCCGCAGCCCCCCCCCACACCCACCAAGTGAGTGAGAACTCCTGCCCTGTTCTCAGGACCCCCAGATCCAGCCCTAGTCCAGGCCCAGTAAGTGTGTGGAAGAGCTTCTGGCTACCCTGCGCCTGCGGGACCTGTCTGATCCAAACCCAGGTGCAGCATGAATGTGAGTGAGACCCTCTTCCTTCCCCCCTGGGACCCCTCCAAACCAACCAAGTGAGTGAGAACATCTGCCCTGTTCTCGGGACCCCCAGATCCAGTCCTAGCCCAGGCCCAGTGACTTTATGGGAGAGTTTCCCCTCTACCCTACTCCCCCTTGTCCCCTTCAGACTCAGCTCAGACCTGGCATACAGCCTGGGGTAAAACTCTGCAGCTGCAGTCCCTGCAGACAGAGGAGGGGACAGAACCACCCATCTAGTCCAGGAGCAGAACATCTTGCCAGAGGGGCACAATAGGATCACTTCCAAGAGTGTCAGCAGGAAGGAGCTGAGCACAGCAGTCAGACCCAAGCCAGGCACAACTGGATAAATTCAAACTTTGTAGATCTGCACCTCAGTTTCAGTAGGTGCTAACTGCACCAAAGCTCTACAACAAAGGTCAGAAGACGGTGCTATTCAAAACGACAATGAAAAGGAACGAAGTGCAATCACAGACACCAAGCCCACCCATAACAAGTGCAGAGGACACTAGCACAGAACAAATTGGGAAGCACACAGCTGAAATCAATGAATCAACAGCTTCTGAAATAAAGAAACAGCTGCAGACAGGTATAGAGGCACTCAGATCAGAAATAAAAAAAGAAATCCCTGAGTTAATAGCATCTTCAGTAAAGAATCAAATGCAGAAACATACGGAGGAAACCCAATGCCCAACCAGAACAAGTGCAGAGGACACTAGCCCAGCTAAAATGTATGAATTAATAGCGTCAAAAGGAAATAAGCAACAGCAGAAAGATATAAAGAAACTCAGAGTGGAATGAATTTCAGAAATAAAAAACAATTCTCTGAACTCATAGCATCTGAAATAAAGAATCAAATACAGAAACATAGGGAGGAAACCCAATTTGAAAAAGACTCTGCAGTAAAAGAATTAATAACTGCTTCTAAAGAAGACACTGATTAAAAAAAATACTGGATATTAGAAAACTGAAGGATTCCTTGAATGAACAATACAGGAAAAAAATAGATTGCATGAAGCAGAGTCAAAGACATATAGAGGAAATTAAAATCTCAATCACAAGCTTGCAAAACCGTTTGAGTGAAAGTGAAGACAGAGTTTCAGATCTTGAACGTACTGTGCAGCTAGTGAAAAGGTAAGAAAAGAGCTTTAAAAACAAATAGGATGCAGGAAAATAATAATTCATTACTAGCAAGACGAGGCAAAGATGAACAGTGTGAGACTAATAGCTATCAATGACAAAGAAGGAGTCAATACAAATGGCACTAAAAAAATATGGGCAGAACTAATAGCAGAAAACTTCCCAAATATGAGGAAACAATCTGACATCCACATAACCGAAGCATACAGAATGCCAAAAACTCAATCCAATTAAAAACACACAGAGACATATAATAGTCAAGATCCCAGAAATCCAGCATGAGAATAATATACTGAAAGCCACTAGAGAAAAGAAGCAGATCACATTCA